AATGGTTAGCAGCGAAGTTGGCTGGAAAGAGCTTGATGGTGTGGAACGAAGTTGGTTGTTAACAGCTTGATGGTTTGAAGCGAAGTTGGCTGTAAAGAGCTTGATGGTGTGAAACGAAGTTGACTGTAAACAGCTTGATGGTTTGAAGCGAAGTTGACTGTAAAGAGCTTGATGGTGTGGAACGAAGTTGGTCGTTAACAGCTTGATGGTTTGAAGCAAAATTGGCTGTAAAAAGCTTGATGGTTAGATACGAAGTTGACTGTAAACAGCTTAATGGCTTAAAGCGAAGTTGACTGTAAACAGCTTGATGGTTAGAAGCGAAGTTGACTGTAAACAGCTTGATGGTTAAAAGCGAAGTTGGGTGAACAGCTTGATGGTTGGAAGCGAAGTTGATTGTAAACAGCTTGATGGTTTGAAGCGAAGTTGACTGTAAACAGCTTGATGGTTAGAAGCGAAGTTGACTGTAAACAGCTTGATGGTTAATGTAAACAGCTTGATGGTTTGAAGCGAAGATGACTGTAAACAGCTTGATGGTTAGAAGCGAAGTTGACTGTAAACAGCTTGATGGTTAGAAGCGAAGATGACTGTAAACAGCCTGATGGTTTAAAGCGAAATTGACTATAAAGAGCTTGATGGTTGAAGTAAAGTTGGCTCTAAACAGCTTGGGGGTTAAAAGCTATATGCAATCGATTGGTCTCAATTTTTTTGTCTATATCTAGTTTGATGTTGATGCGGTCTCGGTAAATTCTGCCATGTATGTTGCATTGCAGTCGATACAGCCAAAGATTGTGAGATGTATTCAGCTGCGTTAGCTTTACGAAAGAATGTGCGAATATCGAACGAAAATAATTCAAATAATTCAAACTTTATGAGCAATCTCGATCGATCAATGCAGACGTTGCAAACCAGATGAGGCAGAAATAACTAAACATTTAACCTTACATTTAACTAAATTGAAAGAAATAATATATTCCTGAGAAATATAAATGAAGTCTTAAAAAATTTCCTGCAAAAATAAACTAAACAGTCATCTTATTACGTTGAGATGCAAGCAAGACGTGTGCAGTGCATGAGTCGGACATTAAATCTGCCCTTACTAGTGTATATAGCGCGCTACCTACGCATGTTATATTTTGAACTTCTATGCAGGATCTACCCGACCTCAGTTCACAATTCCGGTGTTCACAACGATTTAAAATTCTTTTACTTTGATCTGACTCCAAAATATCTCAATATAATGCTTAGTCAGTCGTCAGGGATGCAAAATGGATTTACATTAATTATTTCTTTTATTTCATTCAAATCCTCAAGCTCCCCAAAAGTTGACCATCGAATTGATGATAATCGTTTTCAGTGTTAAATTTACGATCGTGAAAATCTATTTCGAATCGAAAGAAGCACTCCTGGCGATAAATTAGCCACGGAAACCAATGGAGCTGGAAAATTTAGGGCTCATAAATAATTCATAATTCTATCATATGTTTGACATGAAACAGAACTTAAAATGTTTGAAATTGCAAACTTATGAAATCTCATAACACATGCAACGGCCAGGATGATGAGCTATACAGGAGTACTGCGCACTTGAGGGCAGGCGAGAACGTGCGACGCATGGGAAGTCCCATACATAATATACTCAATGGCACAAACATACTCAATGGACTTCTCAATGGCACAAGCTATCTTCAATAGACATCTCAATGGAATAAACTATACTCAGTGGACGAACTATACTCAATGGGCAAATCATACTCAAAGGACTTCTCAATGGCACAAACTATACTCAAAGGACTTCTCAATGACACAAACTATACTCAAAGGACTTCTCAATGGCACAAACTATACTCAAAGGACTTCTCAATGACACAAACTATACTCAAAGGACATGGCACAAGCTATACTCAAAGGACATCTCAATGGCACAAACTATGCTCAATGGTCGTCTCAATGGCACAAACTATGTTCAATGGACTTCTCATTAGCACAAACTATGCTCAATGGTCGTCTCAATGGCACAAACTATGCTCAATGGACTTCTCATTGGCACAAACTATGCTCAATGGTCGTCTCAATGGCACAAACTATACTCAATGGACTTCTCAATGGCATCAACTATGCTCAATGAACTTCTCAATGGCACAAACTATATACGAGCTAATTTGTTTCTTAATTTTTACAACACTTCTCTTTAACTTCACTTCTTGTTTGTTTGTCTGTCTTTCTGTCCGTCTTTCTGCTACAAATCTTATAATCATAATTTAACACACTTCTACTTATCCTATCGATCTGAAATTTTGCGCACTTGCGTAAAGTTGGAAACAATGCAAGAATCAAATGACAAAATAAATGAGTTTAAAAATTTAAAAAAAAATTTTCAATATTAAAAAAATTGAAAAAATAATTTTGTCAGCTACAAATCTTATACTGATATTTGACAAACTTTTACCTGTCCAATTGACCTGAAATTTTGCATACGTGTGTTGTCTTAAAAAAGTAATTTTTAAACGTATATTATTAATTGTCAATACACGCTGGCTGTTTCAATGTTAACGGCTCATGGATGGAAAGCTGCAGAAGGTTTAAGTGAGCACAGACATTTCTGCGGTCGAGTTGAACGCCTGCGAATATAGCGACGCTGCGTCGAGCAATGAGGCATATGAGAATTAATCAAATATATCCTTTGTGGTGCAACTTCCTGCCCTCAGTGCCGTGGGTTCGAAGGCCGGCGTAACGTTGGCTGGTCTCATCCGGGACTTTGGTCCCTCAGCTCCCACGACCTGGGCTGCTCTGACATGATATTGTTGCGCATAATAGAATAGAAGTGTCGGCGTTGAAGAAATAGGCCCATGGCCTGTTGCCGATTCGTGAATTTTTCGTGACTTGATTCACAAAGGATCCAGCCTTTGGAACCCGATCTTTCCATAACTGACGATTGATTGAGATAGCTGCTGGACGTATTGCCTGGTCCGTAATTTGCTAGGCATTTTAAGACTGAACATATGCTCCTGCATAGCTTCGTCTAGTCTGTTCTTGAAGATGTTCATACTCGGAGCGTCAACGATGCAGGGAGGCTTATTTTCAATAGGATTCAATGTCTATACTTCAGTAGTTACTAACTTGTTATTATTTTCCAAAAGTGGAAGTAATCCCTATTCTTGGAATTCGATTATTAAGGTTATTCGAAAGTGAATATCATAAATTTATTTATAATTTATCGGCAAAGAAAATGAAGGGAAAGTTAAGCATATTTTAACTTGAAGCATTAAGAAAAATTACCAATTTTTAGAAATTTCTCAACATTTAATTTCTTAGAATTCAATTTTTGTTTAATATTATTCACAAAACATTTCATCCGTGAGTTAATTAACGAAGAAGCTCGTTTATATATTTGCGAAAATTACGAACATATTGCATGGAAAGTACAGCTTTACGAAATACGTATACGTTTTGAGTCCTGTCACAAATGATAATTCAATCTCAATACATGCCATAAATGTGTTCATCTAATATATGTGCCTTATGATTGCGACCACGCATCATACTGCACTCGTCACCACACAACTGTTACAATCCCTGTTTATACCTCAACGGACGTCGAAAAGGCAGAAAGCTCAGCCGCCATTTAAAAATTTAAATCATTTTATAATCCTCATGTTCCGTGAATGTTTCACTTATTATTTTACTAAATTCAATGCACCCGAAAGTTTAATTATAGCACAACTAATGATATCAGTAAAGGGTTTATAAATAAGTTGTGGTCAGTGGCCAGAGATTTTCACAGACCGCTCTTTGTGTCGCGGCAATACGCAGAGAAGCAAAACAGCCACGGCCTTGTAGCCTGATCCTGCGTCTGATTGTTGCTTCAACTCTCAAGCATTGCAAGTGCTTCTTCGGTGCTGTGGCTGCTGTATTGATCTACTGTGCTGCTATATTACTTTACTATGCTGTAATGCTGTAGTACTTTGCTATGCTGTGCTGCTATATATATTACTTTACAATGCTGTAATGCTGTAGTACTTTGCTATGCTGTGCTGCTATATTACTTTACTATGCTGTAATTATGTAGTACTTTGCTATGCTGTGCTGCTATATTACTTTACTATGCTGTAATGCTGTAGTATGTTTACTATGCTGTAATGCTATGCTGTGCTGATATATATATTACTTTACAATGCTGTAATGCTGTAGTACTTTGCTACGCTGTGGTGCTGCTATGGTGTATTGCTGTAGTACTGTACTAGCTGTGCTGTGCTATCTTCAGAGTTCTACTGAGCTGCCTATATAGGTGCTGTGCCGTGCCGCCCAACCTATGCTGATGCGCAGTTCTGGCTTTGATGTGTTGTTGTTCTTTGATGTGTTGTTGTTGCGCCTCATTTACCGTGCAGTTTTTTTTCAGGTGCTGCGCTGTTCTTCCTTATTTGCAGAGCTTTCCTGCCTTCTGTGCTGAGCTAGCGCTTTGTAGCCTCTAGTGTGATGCCAGAGACTATCCCAGAGTTGTCAAGCTGGCAGCAGCATCATTCCTAAGTTGCTTCGAGTGCGATGTCAGTGACTAAACTTAGTAAGGACTAAGGTAAGGCTTGGACTAAGAAGAACTCATCATAAGGTCATAGGGTGTAGCACTTTGTCTGATTTCAGTGAGTCAATCTGTATGCAGATAGCATTAAATTTTCATGTTAAAACGCCAACCGCCCCTTGCTACTTCCGTTCGATAAGAATGAGTTCGTTTCGCTTTGCTTGACTGCCTCCGACTGCATGCAACTCAGTCGACTTGGCAACTTCCCGGGCAAGTTAGCGCGGTTGGATTTATCAAGAGATGAACTGGGCCATACTGGGGACAGCCCAGTATGGCTGCGTGCATCAAGAGAGGGCAGAGCGGGCGGGGACAGCCCAGTATGGCTGAGTTCATCAAGAGAGGGCAGAGCGGGCGGGGACAGCCCAGTATGGCTGCGTTCATCAAGAGACAAGAGGGGCAGAGCGGGCGGGGACAGCCCAGTATGGCTGCGTTCATCAAGAGTGGCAGTGCGGGCGGTGACGCGTTTGGCGATTCATAACTTGAGTGCAGAACATCACTCGCCTCAGTCTTGTGCTGAACTCTAATGCTGTGCACCGCGGCTCTGGCGCAGTGAACTTCACTGACTACTGCATCAGGTCTTTAGCTACTGTATCAGGCTCCTGACTACTGCACTAGGTCCGTGAGTACTGCACCAGGTTATGGTCCCTATTAATTTATTATTCATAATTGATAATCCATCTTATATGGAATAGTTTCTTCCTTTCGTACGTTCAATTACAAAACATATCAAAATTGTGTACGTACACAAATGAAAACTTGCACCTATCCTAAATAATAGTTACATTGAAAAATGACTGACACATTCATTGAAAAATAGTGCAAAAAAGTGGCGATTCTATACAGAATTAATTTCTAAGTTGAAGTTGCGGCATGACAGCGTTCATCCCTCGGTTTCTGTACACGATAACTCCCCATTTTGAGCTCTGTAACTGGCACTTTACGTTTAATTGGTTGTTCCATAAATAAGTTTCTCGGCAGAAAGACCAAATTGAGATTGTTCATGCCATGCATCTAGGCTGAGCCATGAACTCGTACATTTGTTATACCAAGGATAATAAAAAGGATAACACATTAGGACACTTTGGATGCGCGCGGTTGAGTATAAAAGCCAAGTGTGCATTCTGACTGTGCAGGAAATGTTGGTCATGTATTCAAACACATGCAAGCACTCATTTCATTGTAACTATTGTCGACATGGTTTGCTAGTTAATAAATATTGTTCAAACGAAATTATTAAACTAAAAATCCGGTACAGTGTGCACTGTAATAATTGATTTATTTTAGAATACATGAAACTAAAAAATTATTAAAAAATCAACGAAAAGTTATTGTTCTTCCTTTTCTTCGGAACAGCTTTATTTACATCAGTTGGCACCTATAAATAATCAATTTTACACTTACAACTTATCTCTTCAGAAGAAAAAGTTTTTATGCATTCGCTAATAAAAAAATGCACAAAATGGAATGCCTGAAAATTATTAAGCATTTGATTCAAGCAATCCAAACTCGTCTGGCGTAGCGTAAAACTAGAATCACTCAATCAAGTACAGCGCGTAATCTAACATCTAAAAAAAGTTCTAATAGGTTTTGAACTGACGATGGAGCTGGACTCCGAAACGTTTTCTCTTATAAGTAATGGTGAACTTGTTGGCTATTTTCTTTACTTTTAAATTCCTTGGTAAATTTTTATACGTTGACCACGCTTCTGCTATGTTACGGACTCTTGAGATCGACATTAATAACTTAAATTTTTGCCAAAAATGTACATCTTTAATTGATCCCATTTAGTGAAGTCCACAGTCATATGTTCTCATCATCATGTAGCGCTGATCTATTCACCAACAGATTATTTTTGAATTAGATTATTTTTTAATTCCTTGTGCAATAAGAAAATATGTCATATAATTGGTAACTTTTGCTAGGATAAATGATAAGCATATACCGCACTGATGATAAATGATGATGATAACTATGAGAATAACTGACTGAGATATTGACATCTACGTGAATTAGAATGAACGTTAAATTTGGTGGCCAGCATGAAGTTTATTAATGAACAAATCATAGTCTAATCGTGTGCAGCTCACGTGCCCCACTGTACAGCACAAGTACCCCCTATACAGCCCACGTAACCCCCTATACAGCCCACGTGCCCCCTATACAGCTTATGTTCCCCCCTATACAGCTTATGTTCCCCACTGTACAGCCAACGTATACTGGCTTGCTGTGTAGCCCCTGTACCCCGCCTTACATGACGGGGCTTAGCACAGGCAGGCCGAGCAGACCAAAAGCCCTCACAAGGGAAGTCGCCACTCGGCCTGCCAATTGAAGCTCATCCTGCCGAGCCTGTCGGATGCAGGTGCAGGGAAGCGTCCTGGGGGCCGTGGCATCAAAACCCGCCTTCATAAACGTAGCGGCGTTAGGACACGTAGCGGCCTTAGGACACGTATCGGCCTTAGTACACGTAGCGGCCTTAGGACACGTAGCGGCCTTAGGAAACGTAGCGGCCTTAGAACACGTAGCGGCCTTAGGACGTAGGATTTAGGACACGTAGCGGCCTTAGGACACGTAGCAGCCTTAGGACACGTAGCGGCCTTAGGACACGTAGCGGTATTAGGACACGTAGCGGCCTTAGGACTTAGGACACGTAGCGGCCTTAGGACACGTAGCGGCCTTAGAACACGTAGCGGCCTTAGGACACGTAGCAGCCTTAGGACACGTAGCGGCCTTAGAACACGTAGCGGCCTTAGGACGTAGGATTTAGGACACGTAGCGGACTTAGGACACGTAGCAGCCTTAGGACACGTAGCGGCCGTAGGACACGTAGCGGCCTTAGGACACGTAGCGGCCTTAGGACAAATATAGCGGCCTTAGGACACATACCGGCTTTAGGACACGTAGTGGCCTTAGTACACGTAGCGGCCTTAGGACACGTAGCGGCCTTAGGACACGTAGCGGACATGAAACTGTTTTCTTAACTGAAATTAAGAACATGAAACTGTTTTTGATAGTACGGCCCCCGAACTTCGCGTTCGTACTAAATGGTGAAGTTATACGAGCGTTCAGTAGGAGGCCGACGAGTGACCATCAGCTGGCCGACGGTAGCACGGCGGCTTGTCGAAGGGAGCTATTAGCAGTCAAAGTTTGTGATGTTATTAGAGTGATTGTATCCCATTTTAGACGCGATGTACTCAAAGGTGGTAATCGTACAACCTTCCAATCATCAGCGTGGTTGCAAGACTATCTAAATCGACAGAAGTAATTGCTTCAAAGATTTTAGTCGTTGTTTAGCCACAGATTTTCGTTGAAAACGTTTTTTAGCCAGATGACTTTTCAGTAATACGCTTTTTGGTGAAACTTACAAACCATTTACGATGATGAAGCAGCTATCTACGTTATTATATAAACGTTAAATTAATGGCTTAAGCTGTGTAAGATGATGAATGTGACTCTCCTAGTGCACCGAGCCTCAATTTTTTTCATCGTAACCTGTTCAGTTTTATTATCCCCGACTGGAAGACAAAGCGAAATTCTTGGCTGCTAACCAACAGGCAAACACAAAATCTTTCATTTTTCTCCAAGAATAAAGTACAAGTATATGATCCGAGCAGTTCAGGTCAGAGTATCATTTAATTTAACACAACAGCAGTTGAACCTCATGTGGCCAGCATATGCGTCTCCACCACTTGCCTCACCACTCGTCGTGCGAGGCACATCATGGTGACATGAGTTGTCAAGTCAGGAGTCATGTTCAAATTCAAAATTTATGACTAAGTTAAAATTTTTGAACCAAACGTTTTCAAAACATCGTCATTATGTATTGAAACAAATTCACCGGCAAAATCAAATGACTCTTAAGATCTTTCAAGATCAAACGGCAGTAACATGCAAATCGCAATGTAACTAATTTAATTTGAAAATCATAAGATTTCTATGCATGAAGACTTGGGTCGTGACCTACACCGTAGTCATTACTAACGACAAATGTCATGGAACAGAGTTGTCAACTTTGTTAAAAAATTACTGTATAATTATTTATCATCGCAAAGGTCGCGATAAGTAAAATTTGTAAATGGACTGCGAATTCCTGTTCCTTGACTCTCGTGTTCTTGAAGGAATATCGAATTTGAACTCAGCTAAACTAACTAACTAAATTATACAAGCTCTGGCTGCCTACTAGCTATTCAACGGCATTCTGAAAACTGCAAGGTTGCCATATAAACGGCTTCCACCATCGAGTGCGTAAATCTTGTGAAAATATTTTCATGGCTGCGCCGATCTCCATGCAACAAGTTATTTTTAGGTGGCGCGATCTCCATTCTATTATCGCTGAGCACCTAACAAATGTAAGAACGACTGCGTCCGCAGCTAACTAAGACCATGTCGCCGCATTCCTTCACTCCAGAGATCTGGCGTTAAAACAAAGTTTAGTCAACGTTGTAGTTGTTTAATCAACACGTCATTCGCAAGCGGGGCTCACGTCTGTGCCTTTATAGAAATAGTTAGTAAAAAGGAGTGGCCTCTCCGTTACGATATATTCGCTTGTATAGCAATTAATTGTTGACAAATATATTTAAACTGAAGGCTGATTAAGAAATGTCTGGTATACTGTTAAGCGGAGAATACATAAACAAATCAATTGATATCTATTGGTAGACATGCATGATAACTCTTCTAATACAAAGTTCAAATATTCCATTTACTCTACACAGATTCCGAACAATTTTTAACGAAAATCTATAAACTATTGCCTCTCTATGATTAAAAATTTTCATCTTTTGATTCCATCGCACGCGTCGGAGACTGGTATAACGACAACGAAAAAACTAACACATTGATGTCCAAGCTGGAACCAACACAGCATCTCGTCTCATTGCAGACTTGCGGTTGCGCACTTGACTGGCCATGAAGGCCTCGTTGACGCTGTTGCTGGTGGCCGGGGCGTCACTTGTAGCTGCTGTACCACCTCACCAGGACTACGACTCCTACAGCGACTTCACCACGACAAGCGATGACTATCATTACGAGACCGACAATGCAGGTAGGGGCAAGTATGCTTCTGTTAATTCTAAAAGCGACCAATGTTCTATCCTGAAAAGTTAAAACGGCTTAATTTTAGAAGCATTTCTTGTTGATGTAATTACTTCACACTACAATATGCCAGCATGGTCAGGCGTCAGTTCAAGTTTCTATGAGAATTTTTAATCAGCAAATCAGCAATCAATTGTCCCGTGTTCTAAAATGTTTTAATAATGCTTCTAAGCTGAGAATCATGAAAGAAGCTTTAATCGAGTTCTTATAGAGCCTACCATTCCAGTTAAAATATGGTTGTAGTCACAAAATAGATGGTAGAGTTTATGTGCTTTTCACGAATTAATATATTCAGTAAGTTGTGGGTTGATAAGAACTAATTTTGCAGCACGTAGAGGATATTTTCGTCAACTACGTTTGACTAGCCATACGTCCCATTGCAGTTCCTTGCCAGGACTTCACACCAGACGCATGGATGAACGCGCTGCCTCAGCCTCTGCAGATAAATAAACAGGTGGCCTCGACCCAGGACGAAGCTGAGGAGGTGGCGGACTACGTAGAACCTGTGCACGTCGTCAACCCGGAATACGATCCCTCAGACAGTGAGAGCACAGACGACAATAACAGTGAGGATGATGACGTGCTGGTGCGACATCGTCGATATGTTGTTGCCCAGCGCCCGTCCAGTGAAGCGCCCTATGGAGATTATGAAGGTTCAGTCACCGATACACACGTCACTCGTGAGGATGAACTCGGTGAGGTCGACCGGGGAACACGTTTCGGTTCTGGAAGTTCGACGACAGAAAATAACTCTGACGAGGAAGAAGAAGAACCTCTGGCGTCTATAAAACTGAAGAAAGGCCATAAGAATAACGGGCCTCTTCTTCCTGGCAAGACAACCAAAAGTGAGTTAATCACGGATAACAATTATAATAGGTGCTGTTGATGCTTATAATACTAGGATAAAGTACTAATTACTAATTAGTACTAAAAGTACTAAGTACTAATTTTCTTCCGCTGAAATAAAAAAAAATCAGATGATAGTGAGGAGGCACACCAAACAACATTACTTACGAAAATTCTTACTTTACGAATACAATTTCTCGTTTCACAGACAAAGCAGAATTCTAAAATAACTTTTGAATCTTTCGTGATGTGGACATGAGTGGAAGCCGTGTCATTGTTAGAACCGTTGGATTATTTGCCGCAACAAAATTCTTTTAGAGTTTTTGACTTCTGGTAAATTAGAGACCTTATCAAAATTTCCTCACAATGCTCACACTTTTTCAGTTATGCTGAAGAACTACCAGAAGACAAAAATGTCGTTCCTATTGACTATCAAGGCAGAGGAATCGGCATCGTGTGGCTTTGGAACTCTCGGCAGCGAGTATGTCTTCCATAAGCTGGTGGGCTGCTGGCTCGAGCACAAGCACAAAGCTCATGAAATGTGCCATCACCGCGGCAACGGTCGCAAACATCACGCTCACGGCAACCGTCGTAACCGCCGACAACGAAGGGACAGCAACGCAGAATTCGATCCTTACACTGATGAACGGCAGACTACAGCGAGCATGGCTAGTGAGGAAGATTTTGATCACCATGATGATCACAACGAAGGAAACGACACTGATGATGGTGACGACAGCCATGGCCATGGAGGTCTAGGTGGCCGTGGCCATCATCATGGGCGAGGAGGACGACATGGAGGAAAGGGTCACCATCATGAGCATGACTATCATGGCGTCAACGACATGACTTATGGATCGAACGTAATAGAGCCAAATCTATGTCACCTAATGCCCTACTACCCGCATGTTTTCTACCCGATACGCTATTCCAGCATTTTATCAATCCACCGCTCTTAATGCAGCAAGATTTTTGCAGTGGGGTATATATGGATGATAATATTGATATAAATTATACTTTTGTTTCTTTTCGACAGCAATATTCCGGTTTTGTGCTGGGTACACTAGAGGCGGTATTCCTAATTCGACGAACTATTCTATTTCCAGCCTTCAACACCCTCGCTATATATACTTCTTCTGACGAAAGTGACGTGCAAGGATTTTGAGACTATTCTCTGTTATACATGTATCTCCTGCCTATTTTAGAAATCTTCGATGTAAAATGAAACCTTGAAAAATCTAACAAGCACCTTTATGTCCTTTATTGAAGTATTATTAGAATAATCCTTGTCATGTCACTGGTTGTCTTAGAAGCACGGTCGACGTGGTCACGGTCAGCCGTCCGAGGGCAGCGCTGAGGCGTGCGACAGCAACCTGAGGGGCTGGGTGGCTCCGGAGAGCAAGCTGGTGGTGGAGTACACGGTGCCGCGCTGTGGCTGCTTTGTCCTCAAGTGAGATCAGTGCCTCAATCGGCAGAATTGTAACTCTATTCATTCTAAGTGTATTGGGGTGGATCATTTTCGACAGTGCTTGACTAACTAGCAAGTTAGGTAACGAAATTGCTTCATTCAGAATAATGGCGTCACTAACTGAATGAGAGTTTAACGATGAGCACAACGGTTGATATTGCATCGTGCAAGAAGTTGCGCTCCAAGAATGCTGCTGCCAACATCTGCAGACCACTGCTGGTAATGGTAAAGCATGGCTGAACTAGTATAAGGTTGACCCGTCAGTAGCTCATTTTTGCGGATGTAGTTCGTTGTTCGCCTGTGACGTCACCGATCGCAGTGACGTAACAGGCATTAACCAATCACCGAAACGCGATCAAACCAGTCAACTAATCCGTCATGGGAATGACGGGATTGTTTACTTTTCTCGATCTCAGTGACGTAACAAGAAAGCTGAACTGAAAAACGGAACTTCTCGTGGGTCAACCTAATATAGTTCAACCATGATAAAAAAAGATCCGGCACAGGTTTGGAGTGTGCTCAAGGCAGCAAGAAAACTAGGAGACTCCGCTGAGTTCAAGTCCGTTTCTGTGAAGAAGGATTCCATCCTTCAGAGATAGCGGATTTGCACATGAAATGGCAGGAGCGGAACAGACGCACAAGCACCGACAATCAGGTGAACCACACTCAAGATGTCACGACTCCGGTCGCTGAAGAAAGGCCATAGCGTCTCAGTGGAGCTAAAAGACAAGTAAACAATAAAAGTCGCGTACATCAATCCTGTTCTGTAAATAATGTAAAAATTTTCCTCACAAATTTTTTTCCTGAATTGACTATCTATTAATTTCCAACTAAAGATCGTGATTTTCCAACTAGTCTAATAAGTTTCCTTCACTCGGTCTCTGAAACTTGTCTATCCCTGACAGCGCTCACGTGACGTACGAGAGACAGGACGGCGGCTCGCTCGTCCTCACCCCCGACGCCAACTCGGAGTTCCTGCAAGTCTTCGAGTGCGTCGACGCGCCCCAACCGCCCTCGGTCAGTCGCTCATCGGTTGTATTTTGTTTCTGTTTCATTCCAAGCTTTTGATAACCTGACTATTGGGCTGTTTAATGTGATACCAACGTCTAGGGTCATTGAAATCAATTCTAAATTTAAAATACAAATGGTTATTATACATTTATTATAATTGGCCAGTGCTGGCTAGATGTTTCACTAAATTTACTTGTTATCAGACATTACCTTTGTCCAGCTATCAAACTTAGAAGTGTTGAATAAAGTTATTTGGATATGCAACTATTACCAGTGCTGAAGGAACTCCTTAATCATCATAAGGTGTATAATGAATACAATAACTTCAATGACATTGTTGATAGGAGAGCGACGAGGATGATGCTGACGATGCCGATGACGTGGACCTGGATGGCATCGACCCCCGCAACGTCATAGCAGCGAGCGACGAGCAAGACGATGATGGCCAAGGAGCGCGACGTGGTCCAGCCTTCAACACCAGGGCGGCGCACAGACGAGGAGACACCGGCCGTGACCAAGATAAGGACGACAGCAACGAAGAGTCCAAAGAAGACAACGATAATGATCGTGATGATGATCAGGACGATGAAAAGGACAATGTTTATCGTTATGAAATTTATGAGGGCAGGAAGAGGCGAGCTCCTGAAGGCGAGGACCAGGTGAGGAATGAGGATTCCATTAAACGAGTCCACATTTAACGTTCATTTTCTTGCAGAAATTCAATCGGAAACATATTTACATGACAATTTTACTTGCTTGTCGCTGTTGCGCTGTGGTTAGCGCCATTTTATGCGTCGTGATGGGGGTACCGAGATGAGAAGAGCTAGTCGCGGGTTCGGACCTAGGGAAGCTTAGTTCATTTCTTCGTGTCGCTAGTGGGAGGCGCTTAATATTGGTAGCCGTCAAAGGTGGTGCTTGCAGCATGGCCTTGGGTTGGTGATGCTAAATTACCTAAGTGTACTTATTACCAGGGGATTATATTGAGGTCTTAGGCCGTTTGTTTCTACTAAAGCAAAACAAATGCAGGCTTCGTCATTCAGTATACTGCTTCTGTTGATCTTAAATGCATAGGAGAAAGTAAGTCCTACTCGTTTCATAGGAAACTTGCGCGTCAACGGATAGGAGAGAAATCACGCATCAATCTCTGTAAAATCAAAGTCATTCTACGTATGTAATCACAACCTATAGATCAACGAACTAAACATCATTCTTATACATGAAAGTCTAAATGTCATACGTTTGATTGAATCGTAAATCCACTAAACATTTCAAAGCAAAAAAAAAATCGACAAAATTCCACATATCTGAATAGGAAACTTTTAGGATTTCAGCTGCATCTTCAGTTTGGAAATTCCAGAATGCAGATACAATCAATAATTGGTACATTAGAAGTTATTAAAAAAAGTTAAAACCTAACTTAACAAATAAATTTGAATAAAAGTCTCTACGAAGACATTGAACATGAATTACAAGGCAAATAATTGTGATCGCGTGCAGGTTGCGGAGACCAGGGAGGAGCGCAGGCGGCGCCGGCAGCAGCAGAACGCCCAGCGACGCGCCGACCGCGCGTGAGTCTCGGGTGCAACAACTACGCCCTGTAAAGTTCGCACGTGAAACTTTGCTAACGCCTTTACTCGGGCGTTGAAATAGAAAACTATACCAAAAAGTATGAATTTACGTACCATAACTCATATAACCGTACCATACTCCGATACCATACTCCGATACCATACTCCGATACCATACTCCGATACCAACCATACTCCGATACCATACTCCGATACCATACTCTGATACCATACTCCGATACCATACTCCGGAACCATACTCCGATACTGTACTCCCAAACCATAACTCATATGGTATCCGATAAAGCTTCGTTCACTGCAAATAGTTTTACGGCCAGGTGGAAAGGGGAAGCAAAGAAATTTTGAAGCAGTGAGTTGCGAGTTCAAGACCGCAACATGCTGTGTGTGTGAATGTTCTGCAATGTTAAGAATCGGCGACAATCGGCGGATCTGCTAAATAAAGAGCGATCTTGTTCGGCGACTGATTAGAGTCTCACTGCTGTCAGCTCAACATAAGTAGAGGAATCATAGGAGAACTTCGCGTAGATCAGGAACCACTTTTCATGAGGAGTATTGCAAAATTTCATCACAGTACGCGGTAAGACATCGACATAAAAAAATACTTCTACAGGGATTTTAATGACACATCTACACAATAATACATGTCTTCTCCATAAAGGTAAAACTCAAATTGAAATACATTTTCCGTCTGAAATTTTTACCCGGCTCAAGTCTAAATATATCAACGACTCTAATACCTACAGCTTTTATCCACAGTAAATTCTCCTGTAATGATCGTTTTTAATGCTGTTAATCTAATGTTAATTACTAAAAAAATTGGGTGTAACAGGTGTATCCAGTTTCATAGAATTCAATGTTTATTACCACTAAAAATTTGTTCATAGGATCGAGAATAAGCAACATTAATCTCGATGAATTTATTACAAGTTCTATGAATATTGATGATTGTGGTCAGCACGTCTCATGACCAAAACAATACCCTACAGGAACAAAGCCATAACATTCTTACCTCAGCATCGCCAAGATCTCCAACATTAACTTTTACTATTCGAATATTTGTATGCTTGAGATTAAACCTTTTGAGAGGAATCACAACGTTTGAACTAAAAATTTGTGTGAAATGAACTTTTATGATTCATTATTTTTCAAAGTTCAATTTAATTTATAATTTTTAAGCGCATGAAATTTCCGCGAATTTATTTCTTTGAACAAACAACAACTCCGCTTGCCTTGGCAGGAGGGAACGAGCTCGTGCTGAAGGTGGTGATGATACCAACGTGGTCGCCGGCAGCGCGGGGGAGGACGTGGACCAGGCCGAGCGCCGACGCCAGCGACGCCTGCAGCGACAGCAACGCAAACAGCAGCGGCGTCAGCAGCAAGCAGCTGCTGACGGTGGCAACGGCAACGGCAACGGCAACGGTGGTGGAGGCAACAGACGTCGTGGCCGTAACAACAACAGACGTCGAGGAGGCAACGGTGAAGGTGCTTCAGGAACTGACCAAGCTCAGGCCTCGTAACTCAGAGACTCTGTGCAGTCATGAGGCTTCATTCTAGGGGAAGCTCACAAGTGTTTACACAATATCCGTAATTTTACTTCAAATATCGATAGATTTTTACCAATTTTCTTTTTAGACTCGATGCCGAGATAAAAATAGCCTCCTTAGTTACAATCGCATTATTAATTTGTTTTCATATTTTCTTTGCGGCGTCTTTGGAAGATTTTTTGGGATCTGATTTATGCATTTGCTACGCCCCTGCACGATTGATCAGCGCTCGCAAGTTTCGCATGATCGCCCCGCTCATTGCTGGCTGCTCCCACCCTCATGTTCACGTCATGCCGGTCATTTCGTATCATTTCGTCATTGCATCGAACATTCGAGCTTAATATTAGCGCCTAAATATGCATAATTCGTCCTATTTCCGAATCCTAAAGGCATTTCCCTGCATGGAATTGGTGAACCTGTCCCTGTTTGCTCGTCCTAGTTTACAGTAGTTAAAGTAGTTAAGTTGATGGGAGCGCCCTCATGACTTTATACATGTACAATGTTCGGTAGAAATAAGTAAACTTATAGATAAATAAATAATAAATTAAACATTAATACAAAAATTTGTCGCATTGCCGAGGCAAATCAAGGAAAAGAATAATTCTCACATCTTGTCGAGATTCGGCAACTTTGCGCCAATAATAAACAGTGTGCCGAGAAGAAAGGAGTCTGCGTCCATTCTTTCTATAGACGAATAATAGAAAATATATCAATGTTTATTGTTGAGAAGTTATTTCTTTTCGGAACCTTGATCCCTATTTCAAGTTACGCCAGAATAATTGTATCTTTTATTCTAAAAACTGCATTTTTTAGCTGAAAATCATCTAAATGAGCTGGGCCTATACTTTCAAAAAAGTTAAGAGATCGTAAGTTCATCAGCCAATCATTGATGGCCATTCAAACAAAATCCACCAATCATAGACAAGAAAATAGAGCGTAAGTACTTACGTTTCACTTAGCGAGTTTTGAAAGTATGGCCCAGTTATTTTCGTGTAGATGGACCCTGAAAACATTCCAAATTATTAAAAAGCTATATTTGTTTAAATATACTGAAAATAAATTATAGTAAATGAGCGTGGATAAATAAACAAAATACTAATACTAATGTCAGTAATAAAAACAAAAGCGTGGAGAGATTGTAAGTAGCTTAGACACTCTTAAAAACAAATATTTTCTGATCACTTGCAATCGAAGAGTTTCCAATCCAACCCGCGATTTTAACTTCGCTAGTTGTTAAAAGAATTTACGTACTTCATGGAAAAACTTACATTATACTGTAATGCTTCACTACTCAATAAATGGATAAGTCATTCGATCGTGGAGAAAACTATAAGATAAGGAATAAATTCTAGTTCGGGAATTTTTCTTAACATTCCCATCACCACTAACAGTTTTTACATAAAATTTCTCCCGTGAATCTTCGAAAATTTTAAGGAAACAAGTAAGTTTGAAATGAATTGCAATGGGGCGCTTCAATTCCAGCCTTCTATAGCTTCAAATTTTAACAGGACTGGTTCATCAACTCCGGAGAGAAATGCTTTGGTTTATTACATATTATTATGAAAATTTTAACGCTTAATCACCTACTATTGCAGATAGAAGTTATGACGGTTCAAAGTTTCGTCATTGATTAGCACAATAAAATTGAAGCGTTTACCATTCTTCAGCTTCTCACATTATCATCTCCTAGTTTGAACTGATAAAATTCATTACATAAATTCGCCCATTCCTATAAACTGTTTCAAAACTAATCGCCAGTTAGCGTTTTGGTTTAATTGAAAAAAATCTCATGTTTGATCATAGAGGCAAGATTTTTATGGGAACTTCAGAGCAAAAGTCTGCGCAGATTAGAGCAACAACGCAATGTTCAGCATTATTGGGCACAAAAAAATCTACATAGCAGCAGATTTGCAAAATCTATCGAATTGCAAGCCATGCTATGCAGCGCGATTACGTGACGGAAAGACATCAATGAGGAAACTTTAAGAAAGATTAGGTTAATTTTCCCATTAGTGTTTTAATTTACAATATATGAAAGATTGCTGCAAGATATTAATATATTAAATTCACTGCAATTTTCTGATGACATTATTCCTATGATTGGCATCACGCCTGTTCCGTATTAGTATAGTATCTTCGGCATTGAAGAATAGGCCTGGATAGGCCTGTCGTCTGTATTAATAAATTAAACCTGGAAAATCAATGCACAAGAAAGGAATTGTTGTCGAGCTTCTATATATTCTCCTCCTGAAGGTAATAAAAGGCCATTACAGAAATGGATGTTAAGTAAATAAATTATAACTTTTAATGCATAATGTACTTGCGAATGTACGCTACACAGACTTTATCTTCGAAGCCAAAAACTATTGAATTGCAGAGAAACTGAAAAGTGTATCAGCATGGATTCTTACAGGATATATTTTTAATTTCGTAATCTAGACCAAATAATATTTTGGAGAGGAGCAAGCTAATATATCATGCGTTTGTTCTGCATTAGAAGTCAGTCTCATATTAAATAAATTTGCTCACTATTACTTTAGCTTGCAGACATTTGGCTGATGGCGTTGGGACAACCATAAACTAATTTTTCAGAATTCCACGTAATACAGTACCTGTAGACTGGTAAATGTTGTGAGCTCCTCTTACAACTAACGACAACTAACGGTCAGCGCCAAATTTTGTCGTTTTAACAATATAGGCTCGGCATTCTTTCCGGTCGATTTAACAAGAAGCTCAGTGTTTTTTTTTATTTCATTCAATGAGAGGCTCATCGCTTTTTTCTGTCGATTTAACAAGAGGCTTAGCGCTCTTTTCGGTTGATTTAATAAGAGGCTCATCGCTCTTTTCGATCGATTTAACAAGAGGCTCATCGCTTTTTTCGGTCGATTTAATAAGAGGCTCATCGCTCTTTTCGGTCGATTTAATAAGAGGCTCAGAGCTCTTTTTTGAAGATTTAATAAGTGACTATACGCACTCTTTTCCTCTGATTTACCATGAGAATCTTAGTATATTTTCTTTCTTGGCCGCGATTGGGGTTGGTTATGATTCTATTTTAACATTTTTTACTTTTTTAAGTTTCTTCCCAATTATTTTTTGATCATTGTTTTGTATCATGATGGGGTTACGGAGTTATGTTTAGAAGAAACAGCCTGTGTGCGGAGCTTAGCGCCAAAAATCGAGTTCCGTTGGCTAACAACACAGATCGCCAACAAAAATCTAGTAAAAGAACTACATTTTTGTTCTATTGCTACCAGATAATTTTTCGAGGTATGAAAAGTATACGTGGCTGCAGTATCAAACTACCTATATATTTATAGTCGATAATATAATAAATGTACTTTATCAAATTCAACAAAATAAGTGCGAGCGGAAATCCTCGTTGATAATTTATTTGTATGCCGATTACAATACCGGGTAAACTCATATTATAAAATATCTCATCAATATTTAGTACAAGGGTACTTTGTTCATGGTACCTTTTCCTTTTCTTCTCCTGCGCCTAAACACTCACAATATTCCTCCATGGCCATCAAAAATCCATTTTGTTCTTACAGATGGCGAAGATGATGCACCTGTGAGCAAGGTAATTAATTGGGCAGCTGCCACAGTCCTTATTTATGCTCCAACTTAATGCAATATTATTCGATAGCAGCAAAAATTAAGGAAATACCTGATAATACTAGATGAATATGAAATAGAACTAATTAGAAAACAAGCTCTGTTCATGTATCAACAGAAACTGAGCTTTGACATGCGAGTCTTGAACAAACTAACTTGTTTCCCAAACAATGAAAGTTAACCAAAGTTTTCACTAATATGGCTCAGAATTATATTATAAACTATTAGTAAATAAAAAAGTCAATTGGCTCCAGATCAACTGATAACTGCAAATATATTTTGATGGATAATGCGTACAATATTCCTAAACAGTTGCCCCATTAATAAATAATTGTAAGAGAAGACATGTGTTAACTTGCAGCAAGAGTGGCGGAGGCGGCGAGCCTTGAGAAGACAGCAAGCCGCCGCCCGACGCCAAAACCGCGCGATTTTGAGAAGTGAGTCAAGTGTGAGTGCTGATTCATTGTGAGAAGTGAGTAATGTGTGAGTGCTGACTCATTGTGAGAAGTGAGTCATGTGTGAGTGCTGACTCATTATGAGAAGTGAGTCATGTGTGAGTGCTGATTCATTGTGAGAAGTGAGTCTTGTGTGAGTACTGAGTCATTGTGAGAAGTGAGTCATGTGTGAGTGCTGATTCATTGTGAGAAGTGAGTCATATGTGAGTGCTGACTCGTTGTGAGAAGTGAGTCATGTGTGAGTGCTGACTCGTTATGAGAAGTGAGTCATGTGTGAGTGCTGACTCATTGTGAGAAGTGAGTCATGTGTGAGTACTGAGTCATTGTGAGAAGTGAGTCATGTGTGAGTGCTGATTCATTGTGAGAAGTGAGTCATGTGTGAGTGCTGATTCATTGTGAGAAGTGAGTCATGTGTGAGTACTGACTCATTATGAGAAGTGAGTCATGTGTGAGTGCTGACTCATTGTGAGAAGTGAGTCATGTGTGAGTGCTGACTCATTATGAGAAGTGAGTCATGTGTGAGTGCTGACTCATTATGAGANCCAGTTGCGTACCTGACTTGGTGGTGGCACCAGTTGCGTACCTGACTTGGTGGTGGCACCAGTTGCGTACCTGACTTGGTGGTGGCACCAGTTGCGTACCTGACTTGGTGGTGGCACCAGTTGCGTACCTGACTTGGTGGTGGCACCAGTTGCGTACCTGACTTGGTGGTGGCACCAGTTGCGTACCTGACTTGGTGGTGGCACCAGTTGCGTACCTGACTTGGTGGTGGCACCAGTTGCGTACCTGACTTGGTGGTGGCACCAGTTGCGTACCTGACTTGGTGGTGGCACCAGTTGCGTACCTGACTTGGTGGTGGCACCAGTTGCGTACCTGACTTGGTGGTGGCACCAGTTGCGTACCTGACTTGGTGGTGGCACCAGTTGCGTACCTGACTTGGTGGTGGCACCAGTTGCGTACCTGACTTGGTGGTGGCACCAGTTGCGTACCTGACTTGGTGGTGGCACCAGTTGCGTACCTGACTTGGTGGTGGCACCAGTTGCGTACCTGACTTGGTGGTGGCACCAGTTGCGTACCTGACTTGGTGGTGGCACCAGTTGCGTACCTGACTTGGTGGTGGCACCAGTTGCGTACCTGACTTGGTGGTGGCACCAGTTGCGTACCTGACTTGGTGGTGGCACCAGTTGCGTACCTGACTTGGTGGTGGCACCAGTTGCGTACCTGACTTGGTGGTGGCACCAGTTGCGTACCTGACTTGGTGGTGGCACCAGTTGCGTACCTGACTTGGTGGTGGCACCAGTTGCGTACTTGACTTGGTGATGGCACCAGTTGCGTACTTGACTTATTGATGCATCCGTAGACAAGTTGTCTGCCGAAGGAAGAAATTCAGAATACATGGTTAACGCTTTATATATTTATATCCGTAGACAGAAAGTAAACCGACCGTCAACTGTCTGTTCTCGTTACGAGGCCTTCATGTGCGAAGTACATTGTCGCCAGAAAATGTATGTACATTGTCGCCAGAGAATGTATGTACATTGTCGCCAGAGAATGTATGTACATAGTCGCCAGAGAATGTATGTACATTGTCGCCAGAAAATGTATGTACATTGTCGCCAGAATGTATGTAAATGGCTGGATGTGTCGCCACACGGAGATGTACGGTAGATCTTGAATCTTGATGTTTGATTATGCCACGATGACGATAATTCCGAAATCAAAAATTGAACCAATTTTATTATTGTAGACAAATTTTGACGTCGCACGTTGGAGTTGTCGGATTGAACACAAACTTACGTTGTGTTTTTCGCTTATTAATCAAAACTTTCAGCAATTCGTAAAGTATGGTTACAAAGATTATAATACGTAAAAATAACCTAAATCAGCAAAGCATATCATTAACAAGTAGAGTGGGTATTGTCGTTGACTTTGGCATGAGGTGCGACTGAAGGCAAACATGGGATGGAATACATTAAAAGTCGGGGTTTTTCATGATCGCGTCTCTGCTCCGCAAGTTCATTCTTTAAAACTTATGGGCAGGGTGGCCCAGTGGTTACAGTTCAGAGTAGTAGGATTGGAGCAGTGAGTTGTGGGTTCGATCCCAGCTCTGTGCGCCAATTTCTTGTCAGAATTGGCGAGACGGTTGGTCGGTTAAGCAGATCAAAACTGGAGCATTTGCGTGTGCGAGACCACAACAAGCTGTGAATGTTGAGCGATATTTAGAATCGGTCATAGGTTTTACGGCATTGAAACAATGCAATTACTTCATCGAATCATGTAGCATTGAAAAAATGAGCATTGAAACATGTATATTATTATATATTAAAAGCAAGTTTGTTCCCTCGTACAGCTGTGACCCTGGCCTGCGAGACCATGCCTGCCGAGGTTGCCGCATGGGGCGGCCACCAGCACAACGTCCAGGCTGATGTCTGCGCCCAGACATACACCTCCTGCTGCCAGAGGCTCAACCTCGACCAATGGTCAGTCGTGCTTGTAAATATTAACTCTGATTATTCAAAGGATTTTTTATTTAAGAGGTTTGATATTGCATAACGTTTGGGGAGCATTTTTCATTCTCGAGGAAATTCCTGGAGTGTAAACGCAAGTCGCAAAGAGTAAAATTTATTCATTTCCTTATGTAAGCGAGTGGCAGAGAGTTCACTAGCATTTCAGAAAATTATTTTTATTTTCTTACGTCTCATTTTTGGAAATAAAAGTGTCCTTTCTCTTCCATTGTGACCAGGAGACTAGCAGCTGAACACTTTTTATCCTCGTTATCCCATAAAAATACACTTTCCTCCACTATTTTAACAGGAAGGGCAGTTCGTCTGTCCCCTCGACCTCGTCCGAATCCATTGATGTGTCCAGCGGCTCGGTCCCGAATGAAGCCACTGATGCCTTGTCAAGCGCTGAGGCCACGGAGGACACTTTAGATTTGGAATAATGAACCAACAATGACCATTTTTCCATCATGATAGCATGACAGATGCATGGAAGCGAACTGCAGGACAGCGACTTTTTAAACGATTGCAAATGTTTTCTACCAACGTTAGGTACCGCTCGCGACAATTGATCACGTCTGAGATAAGATAACCATATAAGTTCTGCTAAATTGTTGACACGTGAGCCGGCACCGATTTTAGATATTTCAGAATTTTTACACGAACCAGGAGCTCGAACTTCCAGCTCCGATCATGATGCTCTGCTGCATGACCATTTGGCCGCCATCAACCTCATATGATTGCTGCATACAAGGAATGCTGACATTAATTAAAGTCCATTTAATCTTAGTCGCGATTGCTACGGATAATATGTGAATAATCTAACATACCTACTACAATTGTCGTAATCATTCTCGTATTATAAACTTCGTAATTTTTTCATCACCAATCTAATCCCGCGCTGGCTGTTAGTTGTGTCAGAATTGCGAGAGGTTTCTTCGATGTAAGCTTCTTACTCTCAAAATAATGTTATCTTTCGTTTCTATTTGTTTTAACGAACCGTTATTCATGTATGAACACATATGAATATTGTGTAGTTAGGCGCAAAATGTTCCGTAATTCACTTACTGTATTAAGCGAAATATTTTCTTACCTGTGTTGACTATAGGGTTCACAAGCAACATTTTATTTTACTCTTTCCACATTTCGGATAAAAATTATGCGTTATGAAATAAAATGAAGTTGACGTGTTGAATTTAAAATTTGAAAATATGTTCTATGTTTAATATAGTGAGTAAAACTCTATGATAAATATTTGAAATGAACCTAAAATAATTTTAACGTCCAGACAAATCCAGTGGTTTCTAAATAGATAGCAAGGGCCTCAACATTGATGATGAGATGCCGCATGACGATGCTGGTGCAGGCTTGGGGCACCGCATGATGATGCTGGTGCAGGCTTGGGGCACCGCATGACGATGCTGGTGCAGGCTTGGGGCACCGCATGATGATGCTGGTGCTGTCTCTTATACACATCTAGATGTGTATAAGAGACAGGGCTTGGGGCACCGCATGATGATGATGGCGCAGGCTTGGGGCACCGCATGATGATGATGGCGCAGGCTTGGGGCACCGCATGATGATGCTGGCGCAGGCTTGGGGCACCGCATGATGATGCTGGGGACAATAATATTTTAATTCCAAATCGTGATCAGAAACACCATTGAAACTTTTTCCGGACCGAGAAGCTCAATTAAATTCGCTACTAGCCTATCTGCATCATCAATAGTTGACAGATACGTACTCTCAGAAACATAATTTGATCATTTTGTCCTGAAAGTAAAATCTTTTTCATCCACAGCTCAAGCCTCAAGGATACGTATCAGTGATACTCCTTCCTTAATTAGGATACGTAGCAGAGATAGTGATACTGTGATACTCCCAATGACACGCAAAACTCGCTGCTGGATAACCCTCACAAGGGCAAGTAGTGAATAAAAATTTAGACAATGTCTCATTGAGCGTAACTGATGTCTAATGAAGAGCACATCTGCACAACCGAACTATTAAACCATGAATGAAAGGAGTGCAGAGCACATCAGCAACAACCGAACAATTCAACTATGAATGACTGGGGGAGTGCAGAGTTCATCTACTCAACCGAACAATTCAACTATGAAAGACTGGGGGAGTGCAGAGTTCATCTACACAACCGCACTATTCAACCACACCATTTTCAAGAACGTGTTAGGAAATATAAAGGATAATTTTTTTAGTTTCTGACCAGTTTTCGAAGACCTAAAAATATGTATATAATGAAGCCCCTATAATATAATATAGTTATCCTCGACTTGTGCGAACTAAATTAATTCACCAAAACAATCGTCACCCTCCCCCAATCCGTTAAACCAGAACACTTGGTAAACATGGGCAATTAAGTTTAATTGCCCTAAATTAGATTGAGAGTTTGTTACAGTTTGTACGGGTAGAAGTAAATGAAAGCTACAATAGTTATTCAATTCTACATCGGCCGCTGGAGTTCTCTCTTGATACGCCGTTTACAAGGAGTGCACACCAAACACTGAATCCTTCGGGCATTAACAAGGATCCCGCCAGAAGCAGGATCGTTAGCGTGTAGGTCCTGCACTCCTTTTTGACACATGCTAGTGTGTGTTGGGCAAAAACTGAAATCTAATTCAAGAACTCGTGTTCGCCGAACTAGATTCGTGTTTACAGAAATTCTTCGGCCGGACTAAATGGCCATTTGAGTTATGGTTCGGTGTTACTTTATATTTGGCTCGACTGATAGTCTGGAATTTTTTCGACCGATAATACGGAATTTCAGTGTCGGTTGATTTATTTGCATACTTATTGTTAAATGAATTTGGTTTGCAGTTTCGGAGTTCAGTTCACGAAGACAGGCTCACACCGCGAGAGATCAAGACCAGTAAATCCGACATGGACGTAAAAACATTACTACGCGAATTTTCTCTAAATATTTGCCCACAATGAATTCATTCATACGCAAACAGCAAATGTGTTCCAGTTCTTTCGAGCAGTGGCCAGTTAAAACTAATGAATTAGTTAATTTCAGAATTGGAATATATTATTAGTCTTAGAATAGAATACTAGTGTCGGCGTTGAAGAAATAGGCCCATGGCCTGTTGCCGATTCTTGAACTTTACGTGACTTGATTCACAAGGGATCCGGCCTTTGGAACCCGATCTTTCCATAACTGACGATTGATTGAGATAGCTGCTGGACTTATTGCCTGCTTCGTAATTTGCTATCTACTGGCTCCCTTTCGTCCAGCAGGCGGGTCCATTCGTTTAGAGTCGACAAGAGGTTAGTGGTGCAGGATCTCCCGGCAATAAAGTCTTGCAACTGCATTTGAACCTCTGAAATATTTTTCTATGTTTTTTTCATATTAAAGAGCTTCAAATATTAAGCTAATTGATTGGTTCAAATTTACCATGAGGGGAAATTTTCGAGACTAAGACTTGCGTGATGTTACTATGAATATATTAGACTACCATAAAACCATCTGTCTAGAAAACCGTAAATTTTCCTATAATTTTACAGGGGGAAAGGCAGTTTTTTGTACTTTTCTTTGACATAATATAGTTCTCGTTTAAAAACACCAATCTAATAAATATCCCTTGAAAATTTGTTATTTGAATTCCATGGGATTCTAAATATTATTTATTGTCAATAAATAAAAATTCGCATTCTGTGTAACATCAACCTTAGTGGGCCTCACTGACTCAAAACAACCAGTGGCCCTTGAGCGTTCATGCGCGGTGGATGTGCCGTTCTTCTTGAAACGAAATTTTACTTCGATTTGATGTTTTCTTCGCCGTTCGAACTCGAAAAATCAACCTTTAACGATAATCTTGAAAGAACAGTTAATAATTCATCGTCTATGCGCTCCATGTAAGGAGCAGCGTTATATTTAAGTTATATTAAGATGGCGCCCGTATTGGTCATATGTCTTGTAGTATACGCACTGAGTCTGAATACGGCCTCTGAATTTGTCGCGGCACCAACACCAGCTTGTCCTGCCAAATGTGTCTGTTTCGGCAATGTTGTCGATTGTTCCGACGCCCAACTATCATCACTTCCAGACGACATGAGCCAATTTTATTGGATTGAGGAACTGTGAGTTTTCTAATGTATTTAAGCTAATTGTTATTTAGGCTATATTGGCAATATGATTTATGATTAATTTATTTGCACATGATAGCTTGATAGCCTGATAGGTACATGACACTATGATGACAGCTATAAAATTATTAAAATATATTGATATTTCTTGGTTACATACATCAAAAATGTATTTCTGGTTATTATTTAGTAAAAGTTTTTATATTTTTAGCTTTGGATGCATCATGAAATTAGAAAATAGGTATCTGCCAAGTGACAACCAGCCCAACCTAATCCTATATACATATAAGTTATAGGCTTAGGCTATATTATTTAGTTTATGTATTAGATGGCCAATTTCAATCTGGTTGTAGAATTATTATTATTATTATTACTGAAGTAGGTAGGAAAAATATGTACATTTAACATTCTTTCTGAGTAGCAGCCAGTTGAACCCAATATGCTTTATTAAGCAGATTCGTGTGTTCAAAGCGACTCCAAATCTTGGAGTCACTTTCATTAAGGTGAAAGTTCAAAAATAGTATTGTGGATGATTTTCAAAAATCACATATGAAAATATGCCATTTTTTATTTTTCATGGAAAAATTCAGGAAAGATCATTTCCATAGAAACCTAATGCTAAGTTGCTAACTGGCAATTGGGCAGAAACCACCCATGAATTGGACAAAAATTTCCATGAATCTGGCTAATTTAACTTATTCCTGTAGTCTTTTCCCAATTTTTTAATTGAAAAGTAAGAAAACCCCCCTAATTTTAAATGCAAATCTTAAAAATCACCTGTGAAATATCATTTACCAAATATATATCATTCTTACCTGTGATTTTAGGAAACTTATACCTCATAGGCATAGGAACAGGTGAAATTGATCAGACAACAGGATTCATGGCGTTTTGTTCTGGTTTACACCATGTTCGATTGGTCGGCTTCCAGCCAATTTTACAGTTTTGAGCTGAACTAGAGCATTTATATGTATCTACCAATTTTGAAGCTGCAATTCTTCTGCTAGAAAATTATCTCTTGTCTACATGTTGATAATAACAAAAGAAAATGAGTGTGCCTGAAATTCCAAATTTACTAAAAATATCCAACTGGAGATGTAGAGCTGCAATGTTCTAGTTCTATTAAAAAGTTGGACTCTCTCAATCTTGGTCTGGAATGTCAGGCAAATTTATCCTGAACTTGAAATGTGAAAATAATTATGTATTCCAATGGTAAATTTGAATAGCTGAAAGGAAAATGCATAAATTTAATTAAACCTGATGATAACAATTTATTGATAATAGTTAAGATGGATTGAATTTTGAAGGCTAATCAAACATATTAAGGGGACCGTCTAACCTAAATTGGAGATAGCCTATAACTCCTAAAGTTATTATCCGATCATCATGAAACTTCACATTCAAACGTAAAATGTAAAAATAAAAACATTTTACTTCTATGAATTTTTCGAAAAAATTGATAGAAAACGTGATATTCATAGAAAACGGAAAAATAACGGTTACTATACTTAAAGAACTCTCCCACCCGCTTCCCTTTAAAGAGACGTCATGAACGTAAATATTGGCGTACAGCGATGGCAGTGGTACCATTGGAAAGAGCAGAATTCCAGCTTTCAGATGAGCACAAAAACCGAAAAACGCCAAAATTGAAAATTTTAGGTTAGACGGTCCCCTTAAATGAGAATTTGCAGCAAGATGCAAAACATTGTATGCTAGAGCAACTTTGTTCATGCTTCAATATATCAAGGTATTTAGGTTCATCACCTAACCTACAGAAATAAATCTTTATTGAATGCTTGAAGACCTAACTTATGTCTTTCAGTTTTAGAATGCAGGCAGGGGCAGCAGCAAGGTTTGTATATACAACATATGTATGCATGTTAGCACAGAAGGCAATGCTCTCTTGCCTGTAACAAACGATAAACATATGTCAATGATTGCCTATAAATCAAGCAAAAACTTAACAGAAATATTAGGTAACTGAAATTCATAAATTTATTGATACAATTAAGTCCTAATAAGCAACATTGAATGATTTGTCCAATAAAGATTTAAGATGAGCTGGAAATTTTTTCTTGGACAATAATAATGGAGTTAATAAGCAAGATTAGCCTAGATAGGCAAGGTTTAGGACTAGCAATAGCTTCCAGTAAGTTGAAATATAATACCTAGAAGAATTAAAGTTGAGTTTATTTAACTGAGATAATCTTTAAGGAGTGGATGATCATGCAAATGCAATAAAATCACCAGGTCTTGGGATGCACTCCATTTTAACTTGACCTACATAGGTACAGCAGATGGTTCCACCCACACAATTTACTGAAAAAATCTTGCAGTTTATCCCAATATTTTTGGAAAAAGCTAAATGAATTTCATGTTCTTACCTGCATTTCTACTTTGTTGCTTGTGTGGAATATGCAGCAGATTTTCATTCCACAGGCTTTTTACAAATTTTATCCTGCACCTGTAAAACCCCCTGCATGGGGTTTACATCCTGCAAATCACTGTGCATCATTGAAATTTATTCTCTGTTTTATATTTTGTTATAAGTTTCTGCTGCTGATTATTGTATTCTTATTATGCCTGATCTGTACACCAAACAAGTTGCTCACAACCATATCTTGCATGAAGGTAATGTCAAATATTGCTTCCTCATGGATTATTCTAAATTCATGTTAAGCTACATATTTAAACTTGTTAACTATACTGTCTTATCAGTCGTGATTCAGGTGTAAATATCTTATTAGTTTATCGTTGCAAACATGTTTTTAGTTTTTATAGTTCCTTGCTCTCAGAATTGTTATGAAGATGTAACAAAAGATGCAGGGAGGTTTTTGGTTTAATTAACAAATGAACAAGTCTTTCTGTGCTGCTGGTGTGGCCTCATTTATGTTTGATGAAGTTTTTATTTTGCCAGCTGAGTTTAAAAGCTTGCCTTTACATTTCATTTAAGAATGAAATTTGTAACAATTAAATACTATCAATATTTTTCAATTGAGATGGCTGTACTAAAATCATTTGGCTTCACTGTGCCAATCACTTTGAAACTGAAACAGAACAATAGAAATCAATTCAGTTTTATCTGTATAAATAAACTAAATTCAAATGCTCAAAAAAGCTTATCATGTTTTCAACCTGTACATTATATCAGATAAGATGATAGAATTTGGCCTTACTGCCTGGTGACTATCTACTTTGCTTTGTGCAAGATTCATACCTATACTGTACTATACTTAAAATTAAGATCTTTCTACTGTTTGCCTCATATTTTTTTACTGGATTAAGTATTCTGATTTCCCTAACCTTGGCAACTCCCACAATATTGGTGTGTATGTGTAAATTACTGTTTCTACATTCTGAATGTTTTGTTGGACTTATGATAATTTTTATTAATGTAAACTTCTAATCATTCTTCAAGCACATATGATTTGCCCTAACAGTTGCTGATCACATTCCTAATTATTCGATTGATTTCAAGTAGGTTCTACTTACTGATTTTATTAGTGATATGTATTGAGTTAACTTTTATTGGATAATTTTTTAATTATTCTGTAACTAGTGCAGCTCTTTGCCCTTACATTCAATTGCCATATGCTTTATTGTTTGAGTGAATAGATGTAACACATGTAAGCAAGTGCACCACAACAATACAACATCATACATGGATCAGTTAATTGCATAAGCTTACTACTGGACCGTAAGTGCAAGACATTTGATCACCGCAGAACAGCTTTTCAGTTTTACTATCATTACAAATGTTAGCGAAATATTGTATAAAGAGACATCACACGTCACGGTTACGTCGCAGCGTTACATGGGCGCTTGGTCTCTGCTGATGTTGATGCCTTCAAATGATGGTATGCAGGCGACGTTTACAACCTCCACTGCTGTATACAGCCTACAAGCCCCGTTGCTCAGAAACTCTGCCTATTTCAGGAACTCGCTGAGCTTCATTTTTTTCCGTGTCCTGGGATCAAAGCAAGGTGGAGATGCCGTGATGCAATGCACCTGCACGCTAGTATAATTAGGATAATAATAGCTAAGGTGTTTGTATACAGTCCGCGTCTACACGTTACTTTTTCTCTCCAACTCAAAATATTATTGAGCTTTTGTTTGCATAATTTATAGCGATGCGAATCTTTTGGTAGTAGTTTTGAATTGTGTTTCTGTATTATGTCTCTTGATGTGGAATGACCTGTCTCGCAAAAAGGTCAAATGATTATTTAAAGCCGAAAATGTGTCAAAAATTTGTACCCTCACTTGAGTACCTACGTACTGATTAACCTAATAATCGCTGATAGAATCTTGTTGATAAAGCAGGGGAAGAACATTCCTGTCCATTAACAAAAAATTTGTTGAAAGAGATTCTTTGCATCATAATTGCGCATGGATCTGTTTTTTATCCATTGCGAATGGATAACCATATTTATTTTATGGAGTGTTGACATCTGATGAATCGTAATCAGCTCAGTAAGCCAGCAGCAAATTGGAGTAAATCACAGTCGATGACGAGGGACAGCTACCACGAAAACGTTTGTTGGGCCTCGTGATGTCAACCACCTTCATACCGCCTCGCGAGTCGTCCAACGTTTCTTGTTCTGCTCAAAATTGGTGTCTCTAAACAAAATTGGTGTCTCTAAACAAAATTGGTGTCTCTAAATAGACACTCTCTAAATTGGTGTCTCTTAATTGGAGTGTCTACGCATTGTATTTACTTAACTTCCCCTTTTGAGGCAGAGCGATTTGTTAGCCCGGCATAACGAGAACTTTTTTGCTATTCAAGGACTGGAAAGTTTCTTCATTTGAGCCTGTTACAATGAATTGACAGATATTATGTTTCTCTGGTAGAAGTGTCATTATTGCATAGAAATTCGTGTTCACAAGGGGTCGCTAACGGGTTTTATGCTTCATCTGTGTGTCATTATTGTAATATAATGGCACGTGCGACAGGTTAAGGTACTGCCAACACATCGTATAATGAAGTGATGTTCAGT